CCATTTTGTCCACCTATTCTTCAGTCTGTCTGTCCGTCCTTACTTCCATCCATTCATCCATCCATCTATCTTCCATCAATTTTGTCCACCCATTCGTCCATCTGTGCATCCATCCATCCATCCATCCATCCATCCATCCATCCATCCATCCATCCATCCATCCATCCATCCATCCATCCATCCATCCATCTATCTATCTATCTATCTATCTATCTATCTATCTATCTATCTATCTATCTATCTATCTATCTATCTATCATCCATTTTGTCCATCCATGCTTCCGTCTGTCTGTCCTTACATCCATTTATCTATCTATACATCTATCTTCCATCCATTTTGTCCACCCATCCATCCATTTGTTTGTCCATCTGTCCATCCATCCATCCTTCCATCCATCTATCTATCTGAAAACAGAATAAATAAGCAATTGTTAGTGTACAGTGCACTTGTACATTTTACAGTATTACTGGCAACCAAGATTCCCATTGATACTGTCAATTTTACAGCAGCTTTGACAAAGCATGGCAGATTCTTCATATGAGAAGAGGCTGGAACGGTGCTAATATTACGAAAACATCACATGGCTGTCAGCCAATCAGATTCCAGAACCACAAAGAAATGTTAACATTTAAATAGACATTTTTAAAGATTAAATCATAACATTAACATTCTTTTTAATTCGTATACACACATCCCGTGCTAAACCAGATGATGAACAGCTCTCTTTAATTTCATATAAATGATTCAGAGGTCAACAGACGGTCAAAAATTAGGCTTAAGAAATGGGAAAATGTAACATCTGTCCATATGTTTATACTCTCACGTCACGCACACAGACATTTATAGCATAAATAGACTAATGCCAACCTACAAAAGCAAATCTATCTCTTCCTGGCTGTTAAAAATGCCTCTAAATAGGTGCTGAAAACAGGATGAAACGAGGCTTAAATTACATCTGTTGGTGTCTGTGAATTATGTAACGTTATGAAAGGCACCGAAAGCCTTGTCCTACGATGGAAAACGGCTCAATGTCACGGACTTATAGATCCATTATAGATCCATTTGTACAGCTTTGGATTTCATATGGCTGCACGTTATGTTTACAAATGCTGAAAGTCATGGCATTTAAAAACTTGTAGGACTTGGAGGTGTGTTTGATCAAGACATTTTTGGAAATTGAGATATTTACAATATCTAAAATTAGAATAAATACAGCAAGCTTTACATTGATGAATGGTTTGCTAGGAAAGAGAAAAATACGGCCATCCATTTTGTCCATCCATCCATTTATTTATAAGCCATCCATTTTATCCATCCATCCACCCATCTATTTATTTATAAGCCATCCATTTTATCCATCCAATAGTTTATCCATCCATCAATCCATCTATTTAACCATCCATCCATCTATCATCTATCCATTTTATTCATCTATTCATCCATCCATCCATCTTGTCCGTCCATCTGTCAATCCATTTTGTTTGTCCATCCATCCATCCATCCATTCACCCATACATCCATACATCCATCCATACATCCATCCTTCAAGTCTAACCATCCATCCATCCATCCATCCATCCATCCATCCATCCATCCATTCATCCATCCATCCATCTATTGTCCATCCATTTGTTCATCTATCTATCAGTCTGTAGATCTGTCCATCCCTCCATCTATCTATTTATCTATCGTCCATCCATTTTGTCCATCCATCTATCCATCCATCCATCCATCCATTTATTTATAAGCCATCCATTTTGTACATCCATCTGTTACCATCCATCTATCATCCATCAACTTTATTCATCCATCCATCTATC